CTCTCTCTCTTTCTTTCTTTCTTTCTTTCTTTCTTTCTTTCTTTCTTTCTTTCTTTCTTTCTTTCTTTCTATTACAGAACAAAACCCCACTCGCCTATAGATTTCCATTTTATACCAGTCCTTTACATAGGGTTGCCAACCTCCAGGTGTAGCCTGGAAATCTCTCAGAATTGGAACTGATCTCCAGACGACAGAGAGATCAGCTCCTCTGGAGAAAATGGCTGCTCCGGGGGGTGGACTCTGTGGCCTTGTACCCTGCTGAGCTCCATCCCCTTCCTGCACTCCCAGCCCTGTCCCAGTGCTCATTAGATGCGTCACCCTGTTGATGGCATCGACCGACACTGTCTAGTCCTCCTTGAGTCTCAACGAAAAAGGCAGGGCCTTGTCTTTGGCATTGCAACCTGGAACGGGCAGCGCAAGAGTCTGTGTTTGACCAAAGAGTGGCTTAGACTAAAGAGCCAGTTGTGGGCTGGGAAATCCCTGGAGATTTTAGGAATGGAGCCTGGGGTGGGCCAGGTTTGAGAAGGGGCGGGGGCACGTTGGGGTATCATGCCATAGAGGCTGCCCTCCAAAGCAGCCATTTTCTCCAGGGGAACTGATCTCCGCCATCTGGAGAGCAATTGTAATTCTGGGAGATTTCCAGGCAGCGTCGGAATGCTGGCAACCCTACAGGCCAGAATAAGAAGGTTCCAGGACCAGGGAAACCCCTTTAATCCCCTGGCCTCCGCAGAGCTGGTAGCTGCAATACCACCCTTGGCCACTCACTGTGGTGGCACTGCAGAGCCCCGTTCTGGTGGGATCGAGGGCCTCGGGCCCTGCTGGGACATCCTGAGGCCTTACTGGCATCGCGCTGAAGCTGACCTTTCTTTTTCTTTCTTAAAATTAATATTTTATTGAATTTTAACATTCATTGTTACCAGTATACTACAGTAATACTTATCACGATCATATAAATCACAAATCATGACTGAGGCTTCAGTTGATACCAATACAATAGAGTCAGTGTGTAGGAATGAGCACAAACATTCAAGAATAAGAAGACACAGAGCACAGCAGCTAGCGTCGAGGTTTTACCATAAATCTAAATCATCTATAACTTTATGGATTTCTTGTTGGGAGGCCAAATACTCCAGGATAGGTAGCCAGAGAGAGGAGAAGGTAGAGCGTGAAGAAGGTTTATTAAAGTATGCCAGATTGTCCGTGAGTTTGGCCACAATATATAAGCGCCATATCTTTTGATGCCATTGTGAGAGGGTTGATGACTTTGTTGGCTTTGTGACTTTGTCACGGCAGTGGTGTTTCTAGCCGCCTAGAGCAATGGAGATACTCTTTCCATATGAGAACAGGAGCCATCCTTGGAGGCTTAAGCAATGCTCCCTCTAAGCTGTGGAGTCTTGTGAGCAGAAATTCTACTTTGTGAGCTACTAGCATTAAAGCGGTGAGCAAGCGATTTGGCTACTGCATAAATTTAGTTTGCTCTGGGGCCATCCTTCCTAAGACAAAAATGTGTGAGGTGGAGGCTAAAAAACTGTGAGCTAGCTCACACTAACTCAGCTTAGAGGGTACACTGGCCGCCCAAGCATTCAATCAGGAGTGTTCTGGTGTGATATTGAGGTCTATACTAAAGGTAAAAGTAAAGGTTTCCCTTGCTTGAAAGCCAGTTGAATCCGACTCTAGGGGGCGGTGCTCATCTCCGTTTCCAAGCCGATGAGCCAGTGCTGTCCGAAGACGTTTCCTTGGTCATGTGACCAGCAGGACTAAACACCGAGGCGCACGGAACGCTGTTACCTTCCCACCAAAGCGGTACTTCCAACTTCTTGCTTTCGAACTGCTAGGTTGGTAGGAGCTGGGGCCAGAGACGGGAGCTCACTCCGTCATGCTGCACTGGGGTCTCAAACTGCCGAACTATAGACCTTCCAGTCTGCAGCTCAGCATCTTTAACCTCTGAGCCACCGCAGCCCTTGAGGTCTATTCTAGTGATGACCTTTTCTGCATTTTGTTTTGCAGATAATTTTATTTGCCAGAAGTGCCCGCCGGACATGTGGTCTGATCCAGGACAAGAGCATTGCTTCAAGCGGCTGGTGAAGTACCTGGAGTGGGACGACCTCACCTCCATTCTACTCATCTTCTGCTCGGCCTCGGGCCTCTCGATGACGCTCGGGATCCTGGCCCTGTTTCTCCGTTACTCTGAGACCCCGGTGGTGAAGTCCGCCGGGGGCCGGCTTTGCTTCCTCGTGATCGCCACCCTTTCCGTCGGCTTCTGCAGCATCCCCTTCTACATGGGCGTGCCGACAGAAGCCAAGTGCCTGTGCCGCCAGACCATCTCCAGCCTCTGCTTCACCGTCTGCGTCTCCTGCATCACGGTCCGCTCCTTCCAGATCATCTGCGCCTTCAAGATGGCTTCCCGGCTGCCGGCGGCCTACGACTTTTGGATGAAGCACCACGGGCAGCAGGTCTTTATCGGCGTCGTCTCTGCTGCCAAGTTCGTTCTCGTGGTGGCCACCGTCTACATCCACCACCCGCCGCTGGCAGAGCCCACCGTGAGCAGCGACCCAGCCGTGATGAACCTCATGTGCAACACGAACTATAAGTCCAATATGATTGGGCACAACATCTTCGACATGGTGCTGTGCTTCCTGTGCTTCTGCTTTGCCTACATCGGGAAGGCGCTGCCGAAGAATTACAACGAGGCCAAGTACATCACCCTGTGCATGACCTGCTACTTCAGCACCTGGGTCGCCCTCTGCCTCGTGAGGTCCCTCTTCGAAGGGATGGTGGTGACTGTCTTCGACGCGGGCACGGTGCTCACCAACCTCCTCAGCATCACCGTGGGCTACTTCGGTCCCAAGTGCTACGTGATCCTCTTTCACCCTGAACGGAACACCGCCGCTTTCTTCCAGACGGCCATCCAGAGCTACACCATGAGGCACGATTAGGGAGACAGGGTTAGAGGGGCTACGCTTGGACCGTGGAGACATACACACGCCCCACCGTGACGTTTTCTGGGTGAACAGGTGTCAATCCCACACACTCCGCTCAGCCTATCTCACAGGCAATGCTCCCCCTAAACTATGGAGTCTGGTGAGCAAAGATTCTACTTTGTGAGTTACTGGCGGTAAAGTTGTGAGCGAGCGATTTGGCTACTGCATAAATGAGTTTGCTCTGGAGCCCTCCTTCCCGAGCTGAGGCAAAAAGGTGTGAGCTGGAGGCTAAAAAGCTGTGAGCTGGCTCACGCTGACTCAGCTTAGAGGGAACACTGCTCACAGGGTAGTCGTGAGGATAAAAGGGAGGGGAGGAGTCATGTACCTCTGAGCTTCTTGGAGGAAGGATGGCATAGCAAACCTGCCAGAGGGACAAAGAGATGCAGATGGGCACCTGATTATTTGCATGTCCAGTCTGTGAGATTAGATGCGATGGGTTTTTTCCAGCTGATGCGGAGCCATGTTTTCGTTGCTTTCCAAGAAATTTGCATGAAGCCAGACTTCTGTTGCTTTAAGTCCGCGGTGGGGTCACGTTTGGAACGCCACGCGATTCTGTTCACTACATATTGTAGCACCGGGAAAGGGGCAGAACATGGTGGGGCAGACGTCCCAGGAGCTGGGGCGCCCTCCCTACGAGGAAAGGCGAAAGAGTTGGGGGACTTTTCTAATTTAGGAAAAAATGACCGGGGGTGGGGGGGTTAGATATTTGTAGTGCTTGGAAGAGTCTGGAGTGAGGAAAGAGCGTCTTTTTACGTGTTCTGTGTCATTACAGTAGATCTCGAGCCTCCTTGAACCACAAGGAAAGACAAAGTATAAATGTTTTAATAAATACATTTGATCAACGAAATTCTTCAGCAGTTATGTGGACATAAAGGGAGGCTTGCTGGATCATGCATAGATCGTGCAAAGAGGTCCACCATGGCTATTAGCCACAAGGTATAGATAGGGGCTCTGGGGCAAGTGATGCTCTGACTTCTTGGTGCTTGGGGGGGGGGCAACACTGGGAGGGCTTCTGGAGTTCTGGCCCCATGGGTGGACCTCCTGATGGCACCTGGTATTTTTGGCCACTGTGTGACAAGAGTGTTGGACTGGATGGGCCATGGGCCTGATCCAACATTGGCTTCTCTTATGTTCTTATGTTTGGGGCAAGTGATGCTCTGTCTTCTTTGTGCTTGGGGGGGTCAACAGTGGGAGGGCTTCTAATGTCCTGGCCCCACTGGTGGACCTCCTGAGGGCACCTGGTATTTCTGGCCACTGTGTGACAGAGTGTTGGACTGGGTGGGCCTTTGGCCTGATCCAACATTGGCATCTCTTATTTTCTTATGTTAACACTCCAGCATTGTGTTTTCAGTGGTGACCAGAAA